TCTTTCGTTCTGTTCAGTAGCTGATAAGTCTCGTGAAATATGAAACATGAAATATATATGACAAAAATTGTGGGGAACGCGTAAGAACATTTTTGTGCATGGATCAAGGGAGCATGGAACAGAATTCTCAGGACGGGGGAACTAGCTAAGTAAAAGTGAGTTTCTCAGAGCATTTTAAATCCACCATTGGGAACAACTTCAAATTTTTATTCGAAGCAAGGGTTACTTCCGCGCCGCACGAGAGAAATTGAATTTGCCCAGCTGTTGGAAAATGAATGGGTTTCAGTATTTTTCTTCATATTTACGGTCCAACGCAAATACAAAATGCTTTATTCAAGTGTATATTTCGCTATAGCGGAAAATACAGTTAGCTGCTGTCATTGCTTATTCGCTAAATTAATAAACAACCTCTGCACACAGATCGGCCCTTTAAAAGTGCTTTATTTGAATCCGCACAACGTTCAATTACAGCTGCAGGACTATCATCCTTACAAATATTATGTTGGCTGTTTTGCAACTAAATTAACCCCGAAGTACAATATTGCGCTTTCATAACCGTCCACTTAGGGATCTAATGTTACCTAAAGCATCAGCCTCTTGTTTACTGGCGGCTTTTACACTGACTCTTAGATCGTATACTGCTAACGTTCTTTGCCTTTAACACTTGGGCCACACTGCGGTTTAATTTTCAGCACCTCCAAATATACCACGTGATGGTATCACTGGCGAAGTAGAAATCTACTCGGTTTGCCCTCTCAAATCCTACGCGCTCTTTGGTATAGCCACATTTCCAGAACAATTCGGTCTGGTAGGTTGGCCAGTTGATTTGACCATGGCTTCCACGTGGGTATCTCTTGCCATTGATCCGGATGTCTGCGTTCCTGCATTTATCGCTGGTTGTTTCGAGATGAATGCAGGCAGGTGCAGGAGAAATACAGCTAGCCATGAAGAACATGATGGCGGTGGTGACAGCAAAAGTGCGCAGATCCATTCTAGTACCGTTTCGTTCTCCTCAGTTCTTGAAATGGTGTGTGTCTTAGCTTGAAGATGACGGGTACTGCTACGTTTTGTGGACCTGCGTAAAGGCAAGACAGACTGCGCTCTCTCGCCCAGAATAAGGTACTTTTAAACTTCCCAAATTGATGCAGGATGCAGTCTTAAACTACCATATATGGCAAATGTCAAACCTAACTGCGCCAGTTCAGTAGCTGAAGGTCACGTGACACTTGAGAGACTTCACAAAACGGAAAAAAGTGTGTGAGTTAAATATATTAACATCTAATTACTTTAAATAGGAACCAACCGCAGCTATTTAAACAAGGTTCATCACAGAAGAGGAAGCGATTTACAGAGCAAAAACATCTTTAAAACTCTTGCCTTAACTCTTCCCCTAAATAACCATATTATTTTACATTTTATTCGAAAATGTTACTTAAAAGGATATTTCACCGACACTTCTAAATTACTAATCGCTGAACAAGATTGAAAAACGCAAAATAACCTTTAATAAAAAACATAGACGGAAAGAAAAATAGTTCAAACTTCATTTTTAAAACTCACGCAATCGCCATGATGAGCGGACTAAATAATTTTTTAACTATCGCCGTTCCAAAACACTTCAGTTCTAAAGGGTCATTCTTGGATGAAACTGGAATGTTTTCGTGACCTGAAGGGAAAAAAACGGCTAAAAACAACAGGAAGTCCTAAGATATCGCAAGAGGCATTGATGCATTCATGCATCTTGGTAAGTACGTCTGCATAAACCTGAACCACTGTCCACATTTGGCGACAGTGATGGTACCAATATTCCTCTGTAGTGCTTGAAGTAACAACTGCGTGCGGTAATTTCCCAAGGCAAGTCCTTGACGTCTGGCTTCAGCGCGGTCGTTCATCTGTACTTGAATTTTAGGACGACTTATATCCGCCTTTATTGCAGCTTTCAAGGCACTAACAGCCAGACGTCAAGGACTTGCCTTGGGAAATTACCGCACGCAGTTGTTACTTCAAACACTACAGAGGAATATTGATACCATCACTGTCGCCAAATGTGGACAGTGGTTCAGGTTTATGCAGACGTACTTACCAAGATGCATCAATAACGAAGCAATCGAAGGATAATAGCCTTAAACTAAGAAACAATTTCGAAATTTTGTTTCCGTTTATTGTTTGTCATTATTACACAAATGTTTAACCATTCGCGGGATTGAATGTAACTTTTCAATAAATGATTGTCTCTTGACTCCATTGATTGTGCCTCTCTATGAGCTTCTATGCTAATTGACTTATTGAATGTCTCTTTTTCTCTTTCGATTGTCAGAAGATGTTAATGATTTTCTTTTGGTGTTACTGATTGTCAATTACGCGTGTTTAAATGTTCACTTGGCGTCCTTGATTGTCGATAGATGCTCTTGTTTGTTCGTTGACACTATTGAACGTTTATAAACATGCAAATTGCGCTCTTGAATGTTCCGTGGCGTTAATGAAGTGGTTCTTGGTGTTATAGAATGTATATTCGCCTTATTGATTCTACACTTCGCGAAAATGAATATCTTTTTCGCCTAAAT